TTCACAAAAGGCTTTTCTGTTTGTCCTGGTTTGAGCCAGAAAGAAGGCAATTTTCTTTTTCCTGATATTTTTTTCTTCAGTGAGCTCTCTTTTCAAGTAGCACAGCAAGTTTTCCAGCGAGTGGACTGATAACACTGAAATGTTCATGTTACTGCTGAGAGACCAAGGGAATTTTGCTCTGTGGCCTCAGTTGTATCTGCAACACCCCCATAGGGAGGAATGGACTAGATGGACAGCAAATTGTTCAAAATATTCCATTCCATGTATCTACATAAGCTCTGTGTGAGGTCAGAGATCATGGAAGCCAAGCCCCTTCCTGCTGCTTCTCTCCTTCTCTCCCAACCATGGCTAGTGCCCAGGGAGGACTCCATCCATCCATCCATCCATCCATCCATCCATCCATCCATCCATCCATCCATCCATCCATCCATCCATCCATCCATCCATCCATCCATCCATCCATCCATCCATCCATCCATCCATCCATCCATCCATCCATCCATCCATCCATCCATCCATCCATCCATCCATCCATCCATCCATCCATCCATCCATCCATCCATCCATCCATCCATCCCTGTTGATCCCCAGGCCTGTGCATCCCTGCCCCTCATCACTCTCCCCTCAGCTCCTGGCTACTCTGCCCTCTCTCTGGCAGCTCTGGGGCATTTTGGGGCTGCTCACAGCTCAGGAGATGCTGGGGGAGCTGTGGGGATGGGGGGAGGCAAGAGGGGTTTGCACATTCCTGAACTTGTATATAATTGTACATCTTTTCTTTTATCATTAGTGTTTAATTAAAGCTGTCTAATTTTCAATCTGGAAAGTCTCTCTCCCAATCATGTCTCTCCTTTCCCCAACTGGGTGGGAGGGGATCCAGAGCATTGTTGTCCCTGGTTGAGCTGCTGATCCTGAGTCAACCCGTGGCAGCTCTGGAGCCCAGTTGCGGTTCCCTCACCCTGTGACTGCACCACCTTCTCCAGGTTTGGTGAGAGCACAGCACAAAAGTGAGCCCTTCCTCCTCAAAGCTTACAAACCGAGGCAGGAAGGCAGTTGGCACTAACACAGACATAGATTTTACCTGGGTCTGCAGCTGTCATCAGCTCCACCCACTCTCTGAGGCTCAGCCTTTCGATCCTGCCATTCGTCACCTTCCAGGATTCAGGGTCATCATGGAAAACAGGGCAGCAGGATGGCTCAACCCTGATGGTGCACACGTAGCCCTGCCATGTCCCTCCTGAGTCATAAACACTCTGGATGTAAGTCTGGAACTGCACTCCAGCCTGGGAGCCACAGAAGTGATGGATGGTCAGGGAGCCGATGGTGTCAGCGACTGCTTTTTGTAAAGCTTCCTTCTGCACATTATGGGTTCCAATGACTGTCCTGTTGTCATCCACTCCGTAAAATAAATACCCTCCCTCAGTGTTTCCGAAGGCAGAGACATACTTTGGAAGGCTTTTGTTAATGTATTTCAAAATACAACTTGTAGAGAAGTTCTTAAATTCAATACACGTGGTCTCTGTGAAACCCAGGACCTCTCCAGCCATCAGTCTGTCTCTCTTTAAAAACCTGGTGACGGCCTCTTCGATGGTCTGAGGGGTCTTCTCTGCTCCCCCATCAGAATTCAGCAGAGCTTTCTTGGCCCTTGGCCCATCCCCATCAAGGTGCTTGGCCCAGCTTGCCTTCCTCCTCAGAAAGTCAGCAGTATCACCTGGAGTCATGGTGACAACTGAAGAGAAAGACCTGCGGGACAACCCGGTGCTCAGGCTGCAGATCCGCGGTTTCGTGGCTGCACTTCTCTGCTCTGCATCTCCACAGCTCCACGTTTTCACAAAAAGCAGCACGTGAGGCTGGTGCTGCACCCAGGTGAAGTACTGGCTGGTCTCGGAGCAGCCGAGGCAGCCCCTCAGGCTCTGCTCCAGGTACCGCCCCAGGCCCTGCTGCTGGAAGCTGTAAACCTGCCCCTCACTCTCCCTCAG